ATGGTCCTGACAAAGTGTTGTTATTTTTCGGGTCAATCAGAAATACAATTTGGCTGCCATGGCCGCTATTTTGCTACTAAATTCTAATAGGCCGATCTCACTTAAAATTGGTCTAGGAATGATCAGCTCATGGTCCTGACAAAGTTAAGTTAACATTATACTATTTTTTACTCAAATTGGTACATATTTCAACAAAAAAAATAAATACTGTAGACTCAGGTGACCGTTAAGGCCCATGGGCCTCTTGTTAATAATAATAGAGCCTTTCGGAATACTGAATGAACTGATGTATTTGTAAATTAACATCACGAGAAAATGTCCATGCATATATAAACGTCTATACTAGAGCTTTAGTCCGGATTATATATATATATATATATATATGGACCAATGCCAGATTGTCTTCGATTCTGTAATAAAGAAAATACTGAAACATTTTGTTTTTATTATTCCTTACTTTACTTTATTTACAAGAATACAAAATTCTACTCATAGAGAGAAAAAGAAATAAAGCCTGCTTTGACAAACTAACTTTTTCCACTGTCCGGTATAATGTGACTACCAGTAACAACAACCATGTATTACCGGACAGTTGTATTTTTGCATTTATTATAAATTTCCCCATTATTTTCAATAAATGTTTATGTATTAAAGCATAGACAATTACATCTTTGAATGGTGTAGCTATTTTCATATCCGTATGTCAAACATAACTTACGTTAGTGGCTCCTGAATTCGCAAGTCCCAAATCGTCCAGTCACCTTGAAATTGCCGCTGCAGCAAACATTCGGATCACGTGATAATAAAATTCCGGAAACTTACCGTTATTTCGGTAAATATTAGTATCGCCGTCGTTCTAAAATTAGCGTCGGGGCGTTCCCAAATGTAATCGGTGTTTGTAAAACGCTTTATTGTATATATGAATAAACCGAAGAGATCAGACAACCGTACACAATTTAATTTTATTCGAGAGTGTCCGGTAATATGTGATGTCCGGTAATACGTGAATATCCCCGGCAGACCTTCATCCACAGGGGTTCATTACAATTTAATACAAATGTCCAGAATACACATATGCTACACTGATATGGATCACAGCACATATAAACATACATATCAGTATAGCATATGTGTATTTCAAACATTTGCGATATGATGTGCAGATAACCGATCATGAGGTGACTTGAAGTTCGTGAACGCTGTCGGCTGTCAACACACAAATCCGATTTGTAAAAGAACGCGAAAAGTTTGATTGTCGTCAGGGTCAATAAGGCGTTTTGAAGGAAAGCCCTTTGAT